AAAGAGCCACTTGGCTATAGGTAGTGAAGATGTTACAGGAAGAAACAGCTCTAAAGCTGAATACTCATATTTCTACCTAGAACTTTGTTCCTTTTTGTTGTTGTTTTGTTTTATAATATAGAAGAGTGAATAAAATGCATTTTAGACTAGCTTCTGATTTTGGATTCCTTAGTCTATCTGCTAGTTGCTCCTAAGTTCCACAGAGAATTCCAACCAAAGGAAAATAACATGCTGGCCCCCGATGTACTGCAGGGGCTTTACTTACTCATTCAGATGTTGAAACCTTTCTTGCCAGTTAACGGCCCGAGCGACATTTCCAGTTTTATCAATCAGTTTTATTCCAAAAAATTCTAACATCATTTTATAAGCCAAAAGGAATCTTCTAATTGCTTCTTTTGTTTTTTTGAATTCCTAATGAAAAGAAAAATGTCAGCTGAAATGATTCAGTAGTTACCAGGCCAATAAAACAGCAATATTATTTGGCCATCTCATATAAAATTAAATGAGCTTGCATTACCTCAATTTCATATGTAGTTAGTTCTTTAGCATAAAAGTTCAAGCCTTGCTCTCTCAAGGGGAAAAGCCTATTTTTTAGGAAAAAAAAATTGTATTAATGTCTGGAAAACACACATGATTAAATAGGATGTGATTGAAGACAGATAATATGTAACTAACCATTGAATGTAGGTGTGGTTGTGCTCCAGTTTTTCATAGTCTCCTTTCCACTTATTTAGAACTTCTTCGATGTAAACACCTAAACAGTAAATATTTAGAAAATGAACCAGACATTTAAAACATTGTTGAAAGCATTTTAAGATTTAATCACTTAAGCTTTATGTTAAAACCTTTTAAATTTTAATAATGACACAATAATAATGCTTTTTAAAGATGAATTCTCTATTTCATATATTGTTATATATAAGCTTATTTTAAAAAAAAAACAGTGACACCTCCAACTGCAGAAAGTTTTGCTGAACAGCATTATTCTAAAGCAGAGGTTGGCAAACTATGATCTGCCATCTGTTTTGTAAATAGTTTTATTGGTACACAGCATGTACAAATGAATAATAAAATTAATTTATATATTGTACATTAAAACAGCAGAGTTTAGTACTTGCTATAGAAACCATATGGCCCACAAAGCAAAAAATATGCACTTTCTAGCCCTGTATAGAAGTTTACCAGCCCCTGCCCTAAAAGGGTCATATAGTTCTTTAAATACTAGATAAGATCAAATAAAAAAGAGAAGGGAAGGGAAAGGAAGGGAAGGGAATGGAAGGGAAGGGAAGGGAAAAGAAGAGGAGAGAAAGAGAGAGGAGAGGAGAGAGAGAGAGAAAGAGAGAGAGAAAGAAAAGAAAAGAGAAGAGGGAGGGAGGGAGGGAGAGAGGGAGGAAGGAAAGAGGAGAGAAGCAAGGAAAAGGAGAAAGGAGGAAAAAATGAAAGAAAAAGGGTATTGAGTGCCTATTTTATGTTGGGCCCATATTATACATGGTATACAGCATTCACCTTACTCTTACAGAACTCTCCCAAACCAGTGTTATCTCCCTTTACTAACTGTGTGATTTGTTCAAATCACACACTAATAAAAGAATAAATCTAGGAGTACAGGACAGATTTTTCTGGTTCCAAAAAGTAAGCCCTCTTCATTACTTTCATTGTTCTTATGAAAACAAAATCCTCCTGCTTCAGTCTGTCTAGGTCCTCTCAACTGGCTATGTGGCCATTTATCAATTTTATAGGAAAAAAAAAAACCCACAATGTACTATTTCTCTAAACCTAACTCCTCTCATTTTTATTTCCTCCAGAGATCACCATCTGTAATAAAGGTCCATTCTCAAAAGGTTTGGTAAAAGTTGTTTTTGAATCATACTTACTGGCTTTCTCAGAATGTTGAAACCATTTACTTCCACAGTTTCCCATTTGCTTTCCCTTCCAATTGCCTCCAGCCATTTAATAAGCAAAATACATCATTGCAGATTTACGCTTACTGGAAGTTGTGTGTGTGTGTGTGTGTGTGTGTGTGTGTGTGTGTGTGTGTGTGTGGTGTGTACATACTAAAGAAGAAAGTGTATAAGTTGATGTAATTTACATAATAAAGTAGAATAACAGCTCATGTGACCTTAGCTAAAACATCTGACCTCTACATACCTATGAGATTTTAAAATAAATTTTGTGATAAAGATTACAAAAACAATAATGCATTACTTAAAGTTACCGCTTTAAATTTACTATCTAGAAAAGTAAATTCACTATTAGAAAAACAAAAATAATTGAGTTAAATATTGTCATATCGCTATGCTCAATGCTTTAAATATTTGAAGGAATTCCTTTAGGTAGATTTTATTAAATTCAAATCAGAGTCAAATTAACATTCTATCATTGCATTTCTTCAAAAAGTTTTCTTAGCCCAAGTCCAAAAAAAAAAAAAAAACTCTAAGAATTTACTTAATATGATTTCAATTAGTAAATAAAGCCGTGTGTTTCCATCATTAGTAAATACAACAAAGCATTTTTATCCAGAAGTTTCCTTCCAAAACGGAGCAGACATTTGGGACACCAGAAAATTAATTAAAGACAAGTGGATCTGGCCAATTCAGCAACGTTCTTAAGTTCTAACTCCCAATGGGTACTTCTCTCACTGCACAGAGAGGGGAGTCTTTCTCCGAACACTCTGCCCAGCCTTTAGATTTCCCTCCTCCACTTACTTCACCAAAGAAAGCAAGGCCCTGCCACTTGGAAAGTTTTACAATCTGTGACCCTTGTTCCCTAACTCACACTGCTATGTTTTCAGCTCAATTTCCACTGAGAGCAAAGGGCAGGAGCCAGGGATATCTGGTCACCTCAAAGAGATAGGGCTTTAAGGAGAGAAGCCAGCTTTGCTGGTTTGATATGGATAAAATTAAGAGCCCACAATGAACCACGGCATGGTGCCTCAGTGTAATATGCATATTACCACAGCAGCTGCATTGCACTGCAAGGTTAAAAAGATTCTATGAGGGCAATTGCAGAGTCATGAAGGAGGAAGCAAGTTTATTTGGCAGAGCTGAATGGAAATCTACCATATGTGTAGTTTGATTCTCAGGAAATGGTAACACTGAACTGGGACTGCTATAGCTCCCTGACTCCTGAATCTGAAAACCAACAGGAAAGATAATTCTAATACAACCATTATTTTCCAATTATGTTCTAAATAATTTTCAGGTATGGCACAGTGGAAAGAACACTGAACTCTGGAAACAACACCCAACTCTACAATCAGTGACCCGACAAGTCAGTCATTCAAGATTTAAGACCCAGTAATCTTATATTTAAAATGAGAAAGCTGAATTTGATCCCCTTTAATGTTTCTTAATAATCTAATATTCTATGGTTCTATAAATCTTTTCTCTCACAAAAATGGCCCCCACTACCTTTTGGATAATGGCCACTATAAACAGGTGATGGGAAAGTATTGCTAATCCGCAGTTATTCCTTCAGAATTTGTCAAATGAATGCTCACAACTCCAAGGTCTAGGACTTTGGGGGCACATTAGACTACACAGCAAAGTAAATTCAGTGAATGAACAAATATATTAAGAATGTACTGACCATGGAATAAACAAAGAATAAAGGTGTACTTATTATTTAGAGTTTGCTTTTTACCAAGGTAGATTACTCACCGTCTGGTTTAAATGGAATTTTATTCTTATAAAAACGAAGATTGCTCAAGTCATTTTGATATCGGATATCTTTGAAGTTCTGCTAAAGGAAAAAATAAATCAATTTCCAGCATACGGACATATTTTTAAAAAGCACACAGACCCTTCTTGCATGTTAGTTCATTGGCACTACAAAACAAGAAACACATTTTAGGAAAAAAAAAAAAAATTCTACACTCTTACTGGGTACTGGTGTCGGTATTTGTACAAATCCCTCGCAGCATAAAAACTTCTCTTTGGTTTGGCAGTTGCTTCAGTGGAATCACCACCCTAAAATAAAAAGTGAAATTCCATTCACATGTTGAAGCAAGATAATTTCACCGAGAAATTTCCAGAAAAATTTTTAAAAAATAAGCATCTACAAAGAAAGCCCGAAAAGTGTCAAAATGTCTAAATTACTGAAAATATTATAAATGTCCTTTTAATAATTCTTATTAGCGACATTTGTTGTCATTCTACCTTTCTGATTTGAACCCAATAACATTTGTCCTACGGTGTTTTCCTAAAAATCTTAATTATTCACCAAAAGCTTATAAAGGCTAAATGTTATGGATCAATATCCATCAGAAACAGAACTCAAAATGAATTCAAGACTTGTATTTTATCAGAGGTTACACAAGTAATTACATGATAAAACTTACTTTAGAATACATAATGCTAAAAAAATGCTAAGATAATAAATCAATTCTATATAGAAAATTGAAATAATTTTGCAATATTTAGCTGTACTTGGAAGTAATAATTATAAAAGGAAAAGAGGCTCTTAAAACAAACTAAATAGCTTTCTAAACTCCATCCTTTACAGTATCATAATAAGTACACAAAGCTATGAATAATCTTCTGTTAATTCAGTGATAATACAATGTAATATAAATTAGCAAACTTAAAATATATACACACAAAGCAATGAAACACTCTCAGATGGAATGAACTTCAGAACTTATACGTGGTAGTTACTCATACTATTTATATTCTAAACAAAATTCCCACCACCATGAAGTAATTTTTAAAATATAAGGTCAATATAATTGATTTACATTCCATGTGTAAACTATATATCTACTACAATGTATAAGAAAGTGCCTTGTATTCAGTGTCCTGCAGAAGGACAATGAGACTGATGACGATGATGAAATAGAAGGTAAAATTTAGATCTCAATATTCATTAACAGCTTCACCCCCAATCCTTTCTCATCATCCCCCATCTGTGTTGATAGACTGGCATCCTCTAAGCAATTTCTGCACATTTTTGAAGTGGTGTGATTCTGACGATTACTACAAGTACAGAGATACTTTAAAATCAAATTCTCTGATGTTTAACATTAGCTACTCTGTCATGTTACATAAGCAAGGAAAAGTTTAAATTCTGGTCTTTGCCACACATTTCAAAATAGCTCTGCCTTGCAAGTTTCTGAATCTATTTAGCCTGAGCTACAACCATATGAATCATCATCTACATTTGTAGAGAAAGCACTTTTCCATTTACAAAGCACTTACATGTATATTATTTCATTTGATTCTTCTAACGCACCTGGCTGGCAGTTATTAGTGTTTCCGTCTTAGAAACAAGGTAACCCAGGCTTAGAGAAGTTGAACAGGACCCAGAGCCCAGTGACAACGCAGGCACTAGAAGCACAGGCTCTGGGCTCCAACTACAACTAATTAGGTACAAATCAATCTCAGCTCCACTAGAAGTAAAGAATTGCTACAGAAACTTTGGTATGATGTCAAAGCCCAAGACTTGGAGGCAGGAGACGGTCGGAGTCTTAAATCTGCTACTTATTTGTGAGGCTTTAAACAAATCACTTAACTTAATCTTAATTTTATCATCTGTGAAATGAAGGTAATGACTCACGCTCCACCTAATTTCCAAGATTATGAGAACAACTGCCTCCTCCAAGTCTCTAAATGTACCAAACTCCCAGCATCTGTCCCTGCTCCTCTAACTTCTGCTCCTTTTGGACTCTCTATCCTATCCCCTTTCAACTGCTTAGACAAAGATTGTGTTCCTTAACACACTGTTCCTACTGCCTGTATCACCAAAATTTTCCTCTCTTCTGGATCATTCCCCTGAGCAAAGATGCTATATAGTATCTCTAATCTTAAAATAAAATACACAACTTTTCTTGACCTAAATCCCCCCTCAATTATAGATCCATAGCTCTGCTACCATTCATAGTAAATCATCACCAGAGTTGATTATACTTCCTGTCTCCGTCTTCTCTTCTCTCATGGCCCACCCCAGGTTTTCATCCTCAGCGTTCCATCAAAACAGCTCTTGCGAATGTCACTAACAAATCTCCCTCTGACCAAATGGTTTCCCAGTGCTCAACTCAGGGTATTTTCCAGCAGCACTGGGACACTTAATGCTGCCTTCCTTCCTGAAACTATGTCAGATAACACACCACTCCTGGTTTTCTTCCTATCTCATTGATGACCCCTTGTCAGCCTCCTCTTTGGCTCCTCCTCCTCTTCACCTGCTCTAAATGGAGGAGTGTCTAGGGCTTAGTCCTCATTCCTCACCACTCCTTGATAACCGCATATCTTTCCATGACATTAAATACCACCAGTCTTATATGCTGAAGACTCTAGTCCTGAATTGAGGCTCCATTCAGAGATATAATTAATTACACAACAACTCCACTTGGATATCTCATAGGATATCATACTCAAGAGAATTCTTGAAATAACCTCTTAAGTTGCACTCTCCCTAGACTTCTCCATCTTAATTAATGGCACCATCACTTGTCAAATGTTCACTCAGACTAGAAATACAGCAATGGAGGTGATGAGAAGTAGTCAGTCTGAAATACATTTTAAAGGTAGCTCCAGTAGTACCTGCAAATGAATTGCCTACGGGGAGTAGGGAATAAATGAGGTTGACAGTTAAAAAGCAAAATAAAAAAAGTAGATTTTTTTTAGAGGTTAGATGGTGATACCAACAAGAAAAATTAATCATTAAAAAGGTAGGTTGGTGTGGTCTACCGTTTACTGGGGTTGCAATTAACTGGTTAAAACATTAATTATCAAGTTGATTTATATAGATGGATCTGGTTAGTTAGACTGAATCTGAGCTGGTGTGTTTTGATAAGCCAGACTTCTTTAGGTGGTTATTTAATTGGGAGACAAGGAAGAGAAATACATTGAAATTCATCATATAATATTTTCCTGGGGTTGAATTCCCAATACGAAATGACCCAGCAGCAAAGCAGAACACAAGGGGCAGAAGGGTATTCAAAATTCCCACAGGTTAAATGTTCTGACGTTGGTGACAGACATACTTGGGTTTGCATCATTCTCTTTCTGGATGATCTTGAGCAAGCTTCTAAACCTGTTTTCTCTAAAATGGGGATTAAAAACAGCAACTCACTCCACACCCAAAATTGCGGTAGGCTGAAATAACAAACCTGCTGACCTAAACAGAGATGATCAATGAGGGAGCCTTGGCTGTAATATTTAGGTGGTGATTTCTCTACTCTAGCAAAAAAACCCTGAGGTCACATGCGACTTAGGGCTCCATTTTTTTCACTCTCATTCTCCCATAGCTGATAAAGAGGAGGGCCTAACGCAGAACAAGAAACCTTAAATACCTCCAAGACGCACACTTCGTCAGACGGTTGGCTAAACAGTTCCTCCTTTTTAAAGTTTTCTGAATTATTTTCTGTTCCATCAGAGATTATTTCTTTACTAACCTCTTCTCCAAATTGTATTAGGCAAATGATTTAAATATAGTTGAATCAACAAGTCTTCTGAGCGAAATAAGATTTTTGAAGAGTGCCCTGAACTCCAAGAAGGCCTTACTTTGGTAAGAACTGTGGCGTTTTAACTTCGGTTGGGGCCCTCCTACAATACTTTTAATGGCTGTAGACCCCACTGTCGGGGAGAATGCTCGCTGCCCATCAGCTGCAGTTCCACCTTATTCTGGGTAATTTTTACCAATAATGCGCACTAGACCAGTTTCCACAATCCTCTATTTTTAGACAGGTTCCTCCCACCCCACCTTTGCATCACCCAGCTGCGCTGCAGAGGCGAAGGAAACACCCATTCAAGTTAGGTTCTGCCTGGAGGGACTTCCTTGTGGTGCCTACGGTCAGGCCCTAGGCTGACAGCGGGCAGCCGCGGCGCTCCCGGCCACCTCTGGCCCCCG